TCTCTTGCAGTGCCAGCAGTGCTTTCCAGCTGGGGGGTCGCAGGCTCCAGTTCTGCGTTTGGCTGCCTGGGAAGGGAAGTCCTGGCCACCGAACGCCAGGAGCGTGTCCCCTCAGTATCACCAGTACCTCGCCCCTGGGGAGCCCGGGACTGCCATCCTGCCCACCTCCACCCCGCGTGACTGCCGGCTGTACCCTGCCAGCTTGCCACCCTGTACGATGCCGAGGGCTTTCCTGCTCCACGGAAGGGGTGGAGGCTCATGGTGGCAGTGTTCCGCCATGCTTACTGCGTGGGGCGGGCAGCCTCTGCGGGGCTGGAGCCGGTCAGGGGCTCCGCACCGGAGGAGATGCACAGACACCTGTTGGCAAAGCTGCCACTGACACGTCTGCCAGCGTTGTCCCTGCTGGCAAGAGTGACAGCCAGGGCCTGGCACCTCCTGCTACCGTGGCCCCAGGAGTCCCGGGGTTCCAGCAGGCTGAGCGGCTTCCTGGAACATCCTGAAACTCCTGGGGCTGTGCAACAGGTGCTAAAGCAGTGCTGTGCTGCTGGGTGTCATTCCCAATACGTTGGTTTTTGGAGCAGAAGAGTTTCTCCCATCTCAGCTGTACTGCGGCACGGTTGAACCCTCCCAGTGCGCTGCCGCAGCCCGTCATACTGGGCAGCTCTGGGCTGACGTTTGTTGCTGCTGGGCTGACCTGCCGCTGGGGAGGGGGAGGTTCTTGTCCAGCAGCGACTTGTGGTGATGTTCAAGCCCAGTTTGCGAAGCCAGACGTCACCTGCAGGGGCTCCCATCTGGAAGGAGGCAGGGAGAGGGTCTTCACCTGTTTCCACAGGTACTGGAGGTGAAAGCCTTTCTGTCTGGGAGGGTGTTTGTATATTCTCTGAGCACGGCAGGTTTTCCCAGGGACCACACCTTGCTGGGCACACCGGGGTTCGGGCGCGCTGCTGAGGATTGTGTTACAGCCTTGCAGGGGTGTGTTTTTCTGAAGGGCTTTCCGCCCCCCACACTGTGTTTCAGGACACACAGGAGAAGGAAAGTGTCACCCCTGAGAGAGCAGAAGAAGTGAAACTGAAGGCCAAATACCCCAGCCTGGGCCAGAAGCCCGGAGGCTCCGACTTCCTCATGAAGAGACTGCAGAAAGGGGTATGTGTTTCTCTGCTGTGGCTCGTCCATGGCCTCTCCTCCCTCAATGGCAGAGGCAGCCAAGCTCCAGCCAGCCAGAGGAGTCACAACAAGATTCCCCAGGGGCCAAAGAGTCCGTTGAACCCGTGGGCCAAGTTCCTTTCAGTGCCTGTGCTGGATATGCCACCCAGCGGGCACACAGCTGAAGCAGTGAGGGCTGCTGTGGTCAAGCAGGAAGGGCTTGTGCCTGCTCAGAACCCAAAAGGTGCCACCTCTTGGGTGGTTTTGCTCTGTGCATCTGCCCTGGTGGTGGATCCCACCCTGTCCTCCACCCCCTGGTCTGAAACCTGGGGTCCAAAGGCAAAAAAAGTGCAGAAATCCCCTCCTGGCTGCTGTGCTCCCTGGGGTTCAGTGGGCCCCTGAGATGCCATGGGCCCGAGTTTTTCCCTCTGGCCTGCACCTTGCTGGGTTCTGGGCTGGCACAAAGGGCACTGCGCACACCGGTGAGTCAGGTGGCGGCATCTCCACTGCTGGTACCGGTGCCAGAAGCCAAACCTCTGACTGTGCTCACTGGAAAGATAATTCAGCCAAGCCATCTGCAGCTCGCCTGGGTTGTCCCTGCTGGCTCTCTGTGCGGAGGCTGCTGCAAGAACGCAAATCCCTCCGGAGCTGCTGGCAGACAACGGCTGCGTGCCCTGCCCAGCTCCGGACACGCAGTGTCTCCGTGTCACGCTGCACAGGATTTGGCTCTGCCCTCGGCTTCCCTTTCATAGAATCACAGCATGGTTTGGGTTGGAAGGGACCTTCAAGACCATTCAGTTCAAACCCCCCTGCCATGGGCAGGGACA